AAAAAAATTGGCCTAACAATCACTTATTATAATCATACTTATAGTCATGTTAGGTACATTTTCAAGGTGCAACAAAAAGACATTTTCCTTTTTTTTTAAGGACAGATTCCTCTGTGTTGCTCTGGCTTTCCTGGAACTCACTTTGTAGAATAGGTTGGCCTCTAACTCAGTGAGATATACCTGCTTCTGCTCTGTGAGTGCTGGGTTGAAGGCCTGCATCATCACAGCCTGGCAGAAATTTAAATAGACAGGTGGTGTTGTTTCTTCATTTTAAATGTTACCCGTTTTACACTTCCTGTTTACTCAGGTAATATTATCTCCTTCTGAGTTCTCTGATGGAGCTAAAGACTCGATCATTGTAATTATGCACGTTACCAAATTGAAAAAAAAAAAATGTACCAGCGCCTGATTGCACTAAGAAAGGAATCCGGGAGAGCAATCTGTGTCCAGCAGAGGGCGCTCTGCTCCTCTCGCAAGTTAAAAGGGATGCCTTTGCCTTGCTGCTCGTCCTTCCAATTTCTGTCTTGATTCTCCTTCAGTAGCACATTTTCTGTATTTTGTTCAAACATTATCTTCCAGAGCAACACGACAGTGAACTTCAATAAAGGAGAAACTTCAAAGGAGGAAGCCGTAGACCTGGATTCACTGCTCTCTGCCAAAGGGCTACCCTGGGTACATTAGTCTCTCTAACCAAATTTTTTTTTTTTATTATGAAAAATTCTGTCTGGCCTTAGTGCACTACCACAGTCTATTCTCTGCTAACCTTTGTCCGGCATAATTACCCAGCTGGGAAGCCATTGTTAAATGTTTACCTTTGGACACCTGCGGGGGGGGTGTCTGCTCTTAAGGCAGAAAGCCATTGTGAGAAGGGAACCATTGCTGTCAGCTTCAATTTTCCCAAAAGATGTTTAGGCTTACAATTTTATATGTTGGGCTCTTCACTTCAGAACTTTCCCTACAAGTAGAGTAAATACGATTTAAGCTATATTTGTGGGGTACCATTCAATACATACATACATTGTGTAAAGTTGAAATCAGGTTAAATATGCTTGTCTAGTTAACTTGGATGACCTCTTTTGCATTTAAGTATTTACTTTTCTCAGTCTTTTTTCATAATAAATGCCTTTAAGTCTACATGTTTCTCAGGAATATTTTTTCTGTGTCCCCTATATTTTTGTAGTTAGCTCTTTTACTGATCATTTTGATAGTTTATAATTTGTATTTTATTAACATATCATAAAATGCTTTCAGTAATTCTTATTATAAAATATTTTAAACAGCACCAATAAAAAATAATAGTGAACTCCGTGTAAAAAAAATGAGGCTGAGAACCAAGCAAACTTGATTTCATTGTGCTTAGACTGCTTTATTGGAACAGTGAGGGAGCCCAATCTTTCTATGGGATGCAAGTTGAGGAACTTTACGGGGCTGGGACACCTATGAGAAAATTGCAGCTGTGTGTGTGTGTGTGTGTGGTTTCACTTGGATCAAAGTGGATTGTTTGGTTTTGATACCTGAGCATATTGTTTTTGCTAGAAGAACTGGAATGGTCAGGCTGCAATTTTTATGGCTAGAAGCTGTTGTTCAGTACACGTTGATTCAATTCCTCCTTACTTGATACTATCACCCAACGCTAACATTCTCTCAGATAACAAAAGTTCCCAAGTTTCTTTCGCGTTTCTTTCAACTATTTGTTTTCTTTGTCTTCGTTAAATTGTCTTCAGGAGGGGTAGGCAACAACTCAGAGTGTAAGCGCACTTGCTCTGTAAGTTAGAGGGCCTGAATCTGAATCTACAGCTCCTATATGAAAATGTGAGTGTAAATGCCTGGTACTGTGTGGTGGGCAGAGACAGGAGAACCCAGAAAACTTGGTGCCCAGGAAGTCCAGCAGAAATGGTGAACTTCCAGTTCAGTAAAAGACCTTATAGCAAGTCGGTAAGGTCAAGAGTGATGAAAGAGAATGTCTTTATGTCTTTTTGTGGCCTATGTGTGAACATTCACACACGCACACACACACACACACACACACACACACACACACACACACACACACAGGGTTTTTGAGAAACAGTTGTAAAAGACTTTCTCTCCCGCATGTTCTTGTCCTTAAACTGTGAAGACACTATTTTCTGCAAAATACAGGAATATTAGTCACTGTAATTATCACATCTAATAGACTTTCAGACTATTTTACCAAGACTGTGATTGACTTATCTTCTTCAGATTTGAATTAAATGCGTGCCAGGCAAACACACTAATAGCTGAGCTGCATTTCAGCCTCTCGGATTTCAGCCCTATTTCACTAGGTCATTTGTGGGTTCGAGGGGAAGGAGCTCTTCGGATTTTAGAACAACCTGCAAGAATCTTTCATCTCCTTTTCTAGATGAGTTTCTGGGTTCAAACTCCAGCTGCCATGCTTGCTTAGCCCTCCTGTAGACTTCCCTTTCTTCGCCTTTATTCTCTCCCTCTAGACAGGGGTTTCTCTGTGTAACAGCTGTGGCTATTCTGGAACACACTTTGTAGAGCATGCTATCTGCCCCTGACTCCCAAGGGCTGGTATTAAAGGCATGTGCCACTACCACCTAGCTGATTTACTCTTGTTTAGCTACTGAAGCTTGGAATTGTTCTATTTTTAGTTTCTGACTGTTTGATATTCATCTGAGAGACGGCTAACCGTTTTGCTCCTATTGTCATTGTTTTTCTTTTGAGACATTGCCCCACTGGGAATCTCTGGCTGACTTGGAATTGGTATAAGACAAAGCGGACCTTGAAGACGTGATCTTTGATCGTTAGGCTGTGCAGGCACGGTATTACGTACCCAAAGCACAATTTAGAAAGTGACCATATAAATAATGAGTAAAATCTGTAGAGAATAGTATGGCCAGTGTTGCCCCTTGACCAAATCATATCCGTATGGGTGACTTACAATTCCTGTGTTCATGGGAATTTTTTATGTAAGATAAAGAGTCCAATGAAACCTGTTTTTAAAAGATACTGGAAATGAATTTGGAAGGATATTATATGGCATTACAGAAATATATATTTGTTTTTATTATGATGAATAATCAGAAGTTTAGTTGTGATAAAGGAAATTATAAGAATTATCGAGGCAGGGACTGGGCGGGGGTGGGGGCGGGGACACGGGGTGGCCGGAGCCCAGCGGGAACCGGATGCGGCTTGCTTGCACATCCTGGGTGGCTTCGGGGGTTCCGGGGCCAAGAGCGCGTTGGCGTTGGGGGACCGATGTTTCCGCTTTAGTTACTTTTTATTTGTCTCATCTTTCAGACTTTGCACTTGACTTTGCCCCGCAGCCAGCAAGCCTTCAGTATCCTCGCATAATGCCACTTCCTGCAGACAGCTAGGGCTCATGTTTCCAGACTGGAAGCAAGCGGAGCCACGAGCCCTTCATCCCTTCAGAGAGATTTGGGAACGGCGGCGTAGGCTTCGGAAGTAGATCTCGCTCCCACTCCCAAGCCCCCCAAAAAGTGACGCTTCTTGGAGATGGCACACGCTTTGTGGCGAACCCCCAGATTTTCCCTGCCCACCCAGACACCATGTTGGGAAGAATGTTTGGACCAGGAAGAGAATATAACTTCACAAGGAAAAGGAGTAGGAGGTTGCAGAAGGGTTCAGTGCCTTCCGCACAGTACTGGATTACTACAAAACTGGCATCAGCAACTGTCCGGACGGCATCTCTGTTCCAGATCTGAGAGACACGTGTGACTATCTCTGCATTAACTTTGACTTCAACACTATCCGCTGTCAAGATCTGAGGGCTTTACTTCCAGGAGCTGGCTGACGATGGTGCTCACAGGCATTGTGATCACTGCCTCGAGGAACTGATTCTGGGTATCCTACTTGTAAAGAAAAGATTAAGAGGAGTCCTGGAGGGAGGTCTGACGTGCAGCGCCCCTTTTTCCCAGATGTCCTGGGAAAAGGAGGACGGGAAGAGTTGCCCTGTGGCTTTTCAGTGTGTTCGCAGCAAGTCCTTCACTAATCTGGTGGCAGCCGGAGAGGACGGCTTGGAAGACCAGGAGCTAAAAAATGCATCACCCGCCACAGGTGGACGAACTTGACAGGCTAACTGCTCCACTCTCTCAGGTGGCTTCTAATGACTTCCAAGATGAGGGACAAATAGGGTCCTCCCCTCGCCAGAGCGCTTCTCTGTGGGCGCTCCCAACCTGGCCTCCTGGTTTCTCACCCCACCCCTCCTATCTGTTTCCATCCCCTCTCCGTCACTGTGTGCCCCTTCTCAGTCTGTCTCTGGCCGTGTGAAGCAGCTTTCTGGTGAATCAGACGACCAGCTTAGCCGGCCCTGGTAAACAGACGTTGGGTCTCTTGCTGTTGGTCGAGTCTTATCCAACTGCGGGAGAGGACGTGGACGCCTGTCGCCTCCGGGTTGACACAGAAGCCTACATCCTTTACACCCAGTGGGTGGGGGTTTTGCCACCGACAAATTGCTTACCAGCAAAAGGACCCAATGCCAGAGGCAGTCTGGGTGCTAAGGCAAGTGTCCTCTGCCGAGGAGGTGTGCAGGGTGGATGAAAGGCAGTTCCTGGGTGCTGCACCCAGGTGCCATCCGGCTAGAATGGCTGAAAGGAGTCCCCAGGGGCTCAGCACCGCTCTTCATCAACGCAGGAACAATCCAACCCAGGACACAGGTCTGCCGCAGGAGATCAGTGATCAGCCGCGTTAGTGCAGCCTTTGGCCTCGGGGAGTCAGAGCCCAAGCTGATGCTTCGTTTGGGGAGAAAAAAAAAAAAACCTTTTAGGTGGCAGAATGGCTCCAGGCCAGGCCTGCGGACTGCACCCAGGGACTGCGTGGTGCTGCGGGTATGGCAGGAGACCTGGTGCCTTGAAGGTGAGGAAGAGATTTGCTTGGTACCTTCCTGTGAGCGCCAGGGAGGGCTGGGCTGAGCTCAATGGAATCATCAGCTGTGCAGACCCTGCCCGCGTTCTCGCACCAAAATATTCACCTCTTTCTTTCTTCCTTTCTTCCTTCCTTCCTTCCTTCCTTCCTTCCTTCCTTCCTTCCTTCCTTCCTCTCTCTCTCTCTCTCTCTCTCTCTCTCTCTCTTTCTTTCTTTCTTTCTTTCTTTCTTACTTTGTGGTAGAAGTTGGCCTTTGAGTCGGTCCTCCACCCTGGACGTTTTTCCGTCATAGGTGGTGCATGTAAGCTGTTTGCTTCAAGTTCCTTAAAGAACATGGTTGGTTTCTTGAAGTCAGTCTGCTTCCATTAGGTTCTGTATAGTATACTACTGGACGGCAGTAAATTCAGGTTTGGGAAACGCCTCTCTCCAGAACTGAAGAACAAGAATGTTCTTAAAAGGGTGTGTTCGTTTTTGCGGCAGCATCACAGTCAGAGTTCGTGTGAGATCTTTCTTGCTCAGAAAAGAACCGAAGGGTAACTAAGCAGCCCTGGTTTTTGTGGTGACCATTTGTGTCTCGGTGAGGCTGAAGACCAGCATCCAGAATACGGTTGTCTGTCCAGAAGTTACATCTGGGAAGCTGATGGGCTTGTATTTGAGGTCAGGTCTGGCCTTGACTTTGTTGGTGCTACATGTTTGTCCACTCACAGTGACCAGTCCAGGCCCCTGTTCAGTGGTGCTTCCTATGTGCTAACTGATGGCCACTGGAGTATGACTGTGTGCTCGTGTGGTGTTGAGGTTGTGAGCAGTACTTTCTTTGTCCTTCGGAGTTGCTCCACTGCCTTCAGCCTTTGATGAACTAGGTCTTTGATAAACTACCCCGTTCCCCAAATAAGTTAACATGCTGTGGCTGCACCTCACAGGGTTTGAGTAGGAAGTGGTTTGAAGGCCGGCCAGTGCCGTGGGACGCTGGTGACTAAAGGAAGGCCCGGGACAGAGGCCTTGAGGAGAGGAGGCTCCTTTTGCCGCACCCTTCCCTAAATTCCGGTGTCATTTGTAGTTTGGTGTCTCCCGTCAGCCTTGCCTGATGGGCAAGTTGGGACATTCTTTAGTGCTCCCTGCAGGACTAAGGACTGGGTTACAGTCTTTGGAGTTGGTTATTGACTTTATGAGTGAGAGGACTGTACCAATAAAAAAAAAAAATGGATTTGGGGCTCATGTGTCTCTTGCAAGTGCCTGAATAAGCAGGCCGAGTTTTGTGCATAGAAACATCCTCATGAGAAAAGTGACTTTACCTAGAGTCTCAGAGCATCTTAGCAAGATAAGATTACCTACACCCGAGGCTTGACTGTTCAGTGTCCTTGTATGCTATGTAATTGATGATTAACCCCAGCCAGTAAGGCCCTGGAGAACAGAGACGTAGCGTTACTTGGTGGAGAACGGTGACGGCAAAGGTTGAAGATTGAAGTGACTGGTACAGTAGCGAAAGTTACTTTACCCAGCCCCTTGGGAAAGCGAACAGGCCTGAGGAGAGCTGTGGGGGCAGCACAGGAAGAGGGGCCTCCTCAGAGTCAGGGTGTGTGTCTTCGGGAGAATGCATGTTCAGAGCACAGACTTCAGTTCAAACTGTGTGCTTGAGTTTGAGCTGGGCAACTTCTGAGGTGGGCGCAGGGAGCACAGTGCACAGCGGGGCACCGCCACCTCCCCGGGGGGCAGAGCCACTTCTGGGTCTGGGTGGGGTCATTTCTGGAAAACTATTTTCTCCTAATGGCAAAATGCTTGTAAGTTTTGCCTCTTACTTTGTATTTACTTTTGAAGTTGCACTTGTTTGGCTACCAGTGTTTACGGAATCCTGTATGTGGGATGCTTCATGTTTTAATTGTAAAAGAAAGAAAGAAAGAAAGAAAGAAAGAAAGAAAGAAAGAAAGAAAGAAAGAAAGAAAGAAAGAAGGGAGGGGAAGGAAGGGGAAGGAAGGAAGGAAGGAAGGAAGGAAGGAAGGAAGGAAGAAAGAAAGAAAGAAAGAAAGAAAGAAAGAAAGAAAGAAAGAAAGAATTGTCTAGGCAAAGAAATTCAAGGAGAATTCAGTGGATGGTGGGGAGAGAATTGTTTAATGAAAGGGGATCGAGGTTGGTTTTTTCACTGATGAAACATTGGAACTGGGGGAATGGGGAAAGACCCCTCATAAATAAAGTGTATAAGGAAGAATGAGCTCTAGTCTTAACTAAAATGATTTAATATGAGTGGAGTGAAAAACACTGATGAAAAATCAAAGATCCATCTGCTCTTGTTGTGCTAGGAAAGTGAAGAACAGAGAAGCTGTATTTGGGTCCCTGTCCATCCCAGGCTATCTGCTAATGCAGATGGGTTTAAGCGGTTGGGATGATCATATGAGTTCTGGCTATAGTTGGCACATACGGGGACACGCGAGTGATGCCGATCTCCTTAGGTAAATGAACTTTTAATCATATTCATCCTCTCAAGGGAAAACAGTTTGGCATTTTCATTCCCTGTTCTGATTACCCTGGGGTTCCGAAGAGACCCTTCAGAAGAAGGGCCCCGTTTTTCATGGAAGTGTTACTGAGTATTTCTGATCGTACTGTCTCAGTATTTAGGCATGCTGCAGTCCTTCCCTTTGGGAGGTGCCACCGTGTCTTTATTCCAATACCTAGAGTGACTCATATGTCAGCAATGAAAAGATGATCCCCATGTAGGAGCTGCTGCTGCTGCTGCTGCCATCATGATTTCTGCGCCGGGCAGAGAACCAAGTCTGTAACCGTCAGCTGATCTTCTCACACGTGTGAAGCTCATAAGCTGCCCTGCAATCCAGGGTTTCAGCTTGCACCCAGCTGATGATTGAATTCTGATTGCCACTTAGGGTTTTCTGCTAACATTGGAAGAAAGGATCCACAGACGAATGACCTCCAGGAATTGGTTTTCCCTTGGAGGAATCCAACAGGACCTACTATATTTTTATGGCGAAGATCTCTTAACAGTCTGGGCTCCCCCAAAGCCAGTACATGCAGTAGGATCAAAAACCCATTGCCATTGTTCTTGAGGTCTCAGTAGTCCTCATTGTCCGCTATGTTCAGTGAGTCCGGTTTTAACCCAGGCTTTTTCAGACCCAGGCCAGCTGGCCTTGGTGAGTTCCCGATCCCCATTGTCTCAGTGTGTGGGTGCACCCCTCGCAGTCCTGAGTTCCTTGCTCGAGCTCGCTCTCCTTCTGCTCCTGATTTGGACCTTGAGATTTCAGTCCGGTGCTCCAATGTGGGTCTCTGTCTCTGTCTCCTTTCATCGCCTGATGAAGGTTAATATTCAGGAGGATGCCTATATGTTTTTCTTTGGGTTCTCCTTCTTATTTAGCTTCTCTAGGATCACTAATTATAGGCTCAATGTCCTTTATTTATGGCTAGAAACCAAATATGAGTGAGTACATCTCATGTTTCTCTTTTTGAGTCTGGCTTACCTCACTCAGGATAATATTTTCTATTTCCATCCATTTGCATGCAAAATTCAAAAAGTCCTTGTTTTTTACTGCTGAGTAGTACTCTAATATGTATATATTCCATACTTTCTTCATTATTCTTCCATTGAAGGGCATCTAGGTTGTTTCCAGGTTCTGGCTGTTACAAACAATGCTGCTATGAACATAGTTGAGCATATACTTTTGTTGTATGATAGGGCATCTCTTGGGTATATTCCCAAGAGTGGTATTGCTGGGTCCAGAGAGAAAAGCCCAGAGGTGATTCACTTCAGCGCACTTTGGAGATATACTAAAGGCAATGAGGTCTCTTATAGAAGAAAGAGATAGTGCCTTAGAGACTGATTTGTCTGAGGTTACATAGTCAGAGCGTGGGAGACAAATCTTCCAAAGGACAAAGGCTTTCTCAGTTCTTTTTAAAGCCAAGAATGATATTTAAATAACTCAACACAGCCGTCCAAGATCGGAAGTGTCATCTCTCCAACGGAATCTACTCTAGAAGGGGGGAAAGAACGGGAGGCATGTTACACCATGGAACATTCCTGAATAGTTCCACCAGGTAAACACATTTTTTCCTAATAGAATTCTGCTGGGAAAATAATTATCTTTCTGAACAGTGGTCAAGAGCTGTGGCTAAAACCAGAGTCTGAGCAGTTCCAGTTAAGTCTTATAAAAAGCTGTGCTTCCAAACTTGCGTGATATCACGGAAACAAAGATGAGGCCGGAGGTGTTTGTCCCCATCAGAGTTGTGGGCAGTCTGTGCTCCCAAGTTCATCAAAAAGTGGCTTTAATAGAAAATCATTCTTTTCTTGTGGACTTATATATGTAGTTTAGAGAGTAGATACTTGGTAGTTATCCCTATTTCTGCTTTTTGTAACAGGTCTAAAAGAAAAGCAATTTGAGTTAAGTATGCTTCTTTTTTGTTTGTTTGGGTTTTTGTTTGTTTGTTTTTAAATATGTATTTATTTATTATGTATACAATATTCTGTCTGTGTGTTTATGCCTGCAGGCCAGAAGAGGGCACTATACCCCATTACAGATGGTTGTGAGCCACCATGTGGTTGCTGGGAATTGAACTCAGGACCTTTGGAAGAGCATGTAATGCTCTTAACCTCTGAGTCATCTCTCTAGGCCCTGGAACTAACTCTTGTAGACCAGGCTGGCTTAGAACTCACAGAGATCTGTCTGCTTCTGCCTCCCAAGTGCTGGGATTAAAGGCGTGTGCCACCACTGCCCGACTAATTATGCTTCTTTTACAGTCTCAAATACACGTCACTAGGAAGAGCTGTTAGCAGAATGCTAAGTCTATTTGGCCCTACATGTGCTTGGTTCAGATTAAGTCAGAAACCTGCAGTTTGTTAAAATGTAAGACTGAAGAAATGTTACTATCAAGCTCACCCTTATTTTGAAATCCTTTTAAATATTAAAAATTATCATAGATAATACTCTGTGTGTGTATACGAGCTTTCGTGTGGATGCATGAACACACAAGTGTGTTTATCACAGCATACATGT